GACAATTGACTTCGAGGCACCATCTTGTTTGACAGTAATGACAGAACGATGTTACAAAGGATATGTTAGATAAAGGGGAGGTAGCTTGAACAGTGCCATGACGTCAGTCCATTAAGACGTAACTCGAACAGTGTCTCTTTATCGCCAGATAAAGTATATTTGGCATCTTGGTAGTTTAGCAAAGCATCTTAGAATTCACGACAAAACATTTGTCATGGCGTCGTTTCTAAAAATTCGAACGTACGCTCTCAACTTGATGACGTCGTATATTGTTCGACGCTATGTTTACGTTGTTCTGCTTAGATGAACCTGCACACCCCGGAGAAGTGATGATTTCACTACTGCCACAGGCTAATTTGTATATCACATAAACAGAGTTTCTTCTTGTTTGTAAACAAACGTGCTTATTCTGAAATCAGAATATTTGTTCAGCTTTTATCTGCAAAACCATATATTTTTTTTCTGTAAACCTTGTTTAAAAAAACCCACCTTGCCACAATGTAATATTTATGGCAGGCAATTTTCTTCATAGGTCTGTTGCATAATTGCTGGATTCAAGTGTTTTCGGGAACGATTACTTATTCTTTTATAAAACCCAGGCTCCTAATGTAAGCATTTTGATGTGTTTTACAAATTGTTTTGCACATACGTGCTACTACAACTGCAACAGTGAGGTGCATGATCATAATCTTTAAACATCAAAGTGACCATGTAACTTTCTTTCCGTAGGACTTTGATGAATGCATGACGATCCGTCAGACGTGATGTATCCTGTTTTGACCCTATGTACCCTGAGCCGTCAGGTGTAATGTACCTTGTGTGCGAGCCTATGTACCCCGAGCAGAAAGGTGTGATATACCTTGTGTGTGAGTTTATGTATCCCGAGCCGTCAGGTGTGATGTATCCTGTTTTGACCCTATGTACCCCGAGCCGTCAGGTGTGATGTACCTTGTGTATGACCCTATGTACCCCGAGCCGTCAGGTGTGATGTATTTTGTATGTGAGCCTATGTACCCCGAGCCGTCAGGTGTGATGTACCCTGTGTGTGACCCTATGTACCCCGAGCCGTCAGGTGTGATGTACTTTGTATGTAAGCCTATGTACCCCGAGCCGTCAGGTGCGATGTACTTTGTATGTGAGCCTATGTATTCCGAGCCGTCATGTGTGATGTACCCTGTGTGTGACCCTATGTACCCCGAGCCGTCATGTGCGATGTACCCTGTTTTGACCCTATGTACCCCGAGCCGTCAGGTGTGATGTACCCTGTGAGTGAGCAATTGTACCCCAAGCCATCAGGTATGATGTACCCAGTGTGTGTGATGTACTTTGTACACCGAGCCTTCAGAGGCTCACAAAGGCGCACACACAGGGTACGTCACACTATATGCCCAGAGGGATCGGTTGGCAAGGAATTAATCTCACCGAAATTCATTCATACAGACCAGATTGTCCGAAGTTTCACCGAGTAAAATGCTTTGATTCAGCCATATTGACAGCTACCCGGCGACACAAACGACAGAGTTACTTCCCTTCCCGTAATGCATTGGCTCATATCAGCTCAACGCCACTCGAGCGAGGTAAGGTGTGTTCCGATTGATTTTGTCAGCAGAGTATATCAGCGTGTACATGGAAAAATAATTGCCCGCTCCTTAACCAATCAGAAACTAGCATTTTAATGTAAGGTGAGATAAGAATTGGTGTGTTTTACATTCATTATCATACATATACAAGTTGGAAGAACATGAATTCGTGATACTTGTTTATGGATAACAACTTATTTTAATCTTTCTAGCGACATTTCAGGGCTACTTCGTGCCCCATTATCAGGTAAATAACGAGCAAGCATATGAAGTTAATCTGCATAAACAAGGGGGATTAAGTACATGATATCAATATAATGACAAGCCAATGATATTAATGACGAAGCCAATGACAAGTACAACAGAGATGTAGTGATGGGGCTGATGTAATAACAAGGAGCTGACTATAGTAACACTAACAATAAGGCGCTATGTAATAGCATTTAATGTATCTTAAATAAACTAGTCGCAGGTACAGATAGGTGTTCAGGTGACGTGATGGCATCAGTACCCATATTTATATGGACGACTGGTTCCTGGAGGTGGTATCTTGAAAGACGGGCTCTGTGCGGAAGAAAAGATTTGAGTCAATGTCTGTTGATAATGATAATGTTTGTTGTTTCCATCATCATATGTGCATATCAACAAAACCACAGGAACGGTGGATTAGAGTATTGGTTAAAGTGTTCGCTCGTCCGTGGTATAGGTGGAATATTGCTGGCGTAACAATAGCATACACAGAGATTATGTCACAAGTATGTGGGTCATACTTTAATTTACTACACTTACTAAACTGAGAGAATTCAGATGTATTTGGCTTCCTCTTGCTGGGAAATTTCCAACATTCTGACACACACGAATGTTGTCACCCATACTTTATTATGAATTTATAACAACGACATAGTGACTTCAACAATATTGTCGATAATGTTCTTTGCGTTACGTCACCAGTTTTGTGCGTGAACCAATTATTATAAATTGGCATAGTTCTGATTTGTATTAACTTGCTTGCTTTCAAAAATATGTATAATAATATTCTTTACAATAAATAGGGGATCTCGCAAATAACTTAACGACGTTGACACACACGTCCATGTAATGTCCCAGACGTGTTCAATGGGGGAAGGTCTGGGATAATAGCTGGCCATGCTCTCATGCACACTCTGCATCTAGAAGCGGATGAGCCTTCCCTTAAACAACGCCGTCTAAAATTATCTTTACAATACATCACTAAGTTATATTCTAATAAGTCAAATCCAGCTTTTGAATGCATATTCAATCCTCAGTACGATATAGCTCCCACTCAACTTTTTCCATCTCCTCCTTGGCAAATGGTAAAGCCGGAGGTAGAACTAACATCAACAAAACGAAAGAAATCAGATACTAACCTACTCATTTACCAACAAGAATGCAATCAACTAAGAACCACTTATGACACTTATAAATCTATAGTCACAGATGGATCCAAGGATGGTGGCGCAGTTGCTAGTGCCACTGTCATTGGATCCAGGACAATATCTTCACGATTACCAGAAAACAGCAGAAGCAAACGCCATTTTAACAGCACTAAAATATATCAATAACCAACCAAAACATAAATAATTCATTTTTTTTTCAGATTATCTTTCGTGCATTCAGGCGATTAAAAATATGTCATCCAGATTCTTGAATTAATAAATGATCTTGCTACTGGCCAATGTGACATCGTCTTTTGTTGGTTACCAAGCCATGCAGGTATACGCATGAATATGTATTAAATGGTGAGGATCCTCCGTTTGGTATCCCTTGTGATGGAAGAATCATGGTCAATCAGGTCTTGCTTGATTGTATTGATTTTTCCATTACAAGGGATAAATATTTCAGTGTCAGGACCTTTTTAGCAATCTAAATTCACGTTTAATCATTAACTTTGTAAACGATATTGAACTAATTCACAATTTTTTATGTAAAAAGTTATGTATTTTATAATTCGGTAGTGTATGATATTAACTGAGATTGTTCGTGGCTGTGTCCTCGACGGGGTTTAAAGTATCGTAAAATTATTGTCCCCCTGAGAGGGTATGTAAGACCACCTCATTCAAAGAATATCTATATCTCCCCAATTTTAACTGCAAAATATTTGTTCACTTTTTATCGCTAAACTTGAAACAATTGCCAGTGACTAAGTGGAAGGTGTTATTCCTGCTGGGGAACCATGCAGGTAGCGGAGGTAACGTAAGTCCCCTTGGTAACTAGTATGGTGACCTTACCTTTCTTGCTGGTGACCTACAGCCCCATTGTTATACTGTATCGTTGCCCATTTTTTTTAATGTTCTACAAGGAGTTTTACATGTAAGTCAAACTGTGATATATTGAAAGTTATTATACTGTCCTTCATCGACAGTTTTGTTATATAAATATTGTATGAATTGTTCAAGTCACTCTTTGGCTGAAATATTGCCGACGTGACTTAAAATTAAATTTATTCACTCACTCAATGCTGGCCATTGCATTCTATGGATGCTGTGCAGGTTGAGGTGTCTTTTAAAGATCCACCGCCAAATCGGCCATCATGTCTCAGGCTGACATTGGCTTGACGTTCATTTCGAAGTGCAACGTTAATCGGGACTCGTCTTAAAACATTACAACCTAGTTTCGTCGTTGTGTACACCATTGACGTATGTTGACAGTATGATGAATTGTAAGGGTGGCACCTGGCCGTCGAGCATAGAGGTGATGGCATGTAGACGATGTCTAACCGTCTGACCCGTAACTCAGTAAGTTTGCAGTAATTTGATTTCGCCGTTTGAGCTCGATTTCATAGAGCCTGGTTTCGGAAGAGTTGATCCTGTACTCTTGTCGTTGATCTGGGACGCCCTGAATGGGGTCGATCGTCAACATTTTTGTTATTTTGTTAGTGTGTTGATAGTCTATACTGTATATGTATTGTCGGCTAATCACATGTACAGACTGCGAAATATTGAACATACTGACCAGTGCCGGCTGATTTCTGTCAGTTTTCGGCATGCCAATAGTCCAAAGATGCCACATCAATGGTTCATTCACAAACAGCGAATGATATCAAATATTTCACAGCTGTAGGATTTAAAAGAATCAATTAGTTTTATAATAATGGTCCACAGAGATTAATCGACTTTCCTTGAAAGTGTCAATATCAGGAATGACAACCTGCGCTCGTGTGTTCTACAGATATTAACGTTTTTGCATAGGATTTTTGTCGTCAATACTTGGGACTAACATTTATAGTGCATGACCCCCCTACTTTCTTGAGAGTATACACTCTTCAAAAAAGGAAACGCACAGGTAAAAATTTTTTTACTAAATTTATTGCACCTAAAATAGTCGATATATTTAATTCAATATCATAGATACAAATCTGAAATTTTGGAGCTCGATATTCACATGTTGTCGTTGTACAAAGGCATTGAAAACTGTTCATTGTCATGTCACATAAGGCCACAAGGGTGAGCTGAACTCAGTATCTCGCCATTCTGTTTGTTACGCGTTTGCCAGTTGTGGAAGTGTCTGTGGCGCGTTCTGGCGTTGACGTACACGTCGATCGAATTCATCCCAGGGTGTTCGATTGGGTTGAGATCTGGAGATCTTGACGGCCAGAGCAAAACGTTGATGTTGGCATTATGAAGGAAGTCTTCCGAGACACGAGTTGTGTGCAATGGAGGGAGTGTTGTCCTTGCGAAGATGGTTCCTGACAGTCGGGTCTGATACCCTCCTGAAACCAGGGATGCGTCCCGCAGTCTCCGTAGCTATGGCTTTGCGATGACGAAGGTGGAACAGTGGAATGTAGCGATCCTGTGCAGGGGTGGTAACTCTTGGTCGGCTGGTTCTCGGACGGTCTGCATCGGAATTGAACTGTGTGTATCGGTCACAAAGGCGGCAAATGTTGCTGTGGTGGGCGTTGTGAGTGAGTGAGTGAGTTTGGTTTTACGCCGCTTTTAGCAATATTCCAGGAATATCACGGCGGGGGACACCAGAAATGGGCTTCACACATTGTACCCATGTAGGGAATCGAACCCGGGTCTTTGGCGTGACGAGCGAACGTTTTAACCACTATACTACCCGACCGCTCCGGTGGGCGTTGTGAAGTGGCGTGCAAAAGAAAACTGCGATTCTCCACTTTGGATACGCCTTATGGCGATGACAAATTATTGGCTTATGCATGCCTTTCTATAGCCACTACCACGAGTTACGAATGCCATAACTTGCACGTGCATTTTGCTTTATTGTTTTCCTCCATGACATTTTTTAACAAGTGTGAAAACGCGCCGTTTAAGACATTGCAAATCGACAATAGCTGCGTTTTGATGCACCGTTTGTCGATTATGAGGCCACCAACATTTTTCAATAACATATATCCAATTAATATACCAAATATTTTGTGTAGTCAGGTTCAATGAACTACATACTACCTGTGCGTTTTTTTATATGTATATGCATGATATTAATAATTTTTGATATTTTTTTTAATTAACAACCCACAGTTATTATTGGTTACACATTTATCAACACCATTCGGTCAGGTATCCATTATACAATTTTAGCGTGGTTTATGTGAAGCATTCTAAAACTAAAGGAAATCTCTCTGAAACACTGCAACACCCATGTGATTCCGGGTTAGAATTTGTCCCCAAGAACGCATATGGGTCCCAAGAGGCGACCAAATTGATCGGGTGGACAGACTCGGTGACATACACTAATAGCGTGGAACGTTGCTCACAATATCAAACAATATGGATGAAGGAATGGACACAATGGATCAAATGCTGGTGAAAATTCATTATGATTACTTGAAATAAAGGTATCGCTTAACTTGTATGATCTGATTCCTTTTCCTTTAAACATGAGGTGACAAATTACCTAAGTTTTGGTCTATGTCTTCTTCATCTTCAAATGCATCGTTGCGATAGGTATCGTCAGGATCAGCATCTGGAACATTGTGTAATTTCTGACCAGTGGACGCGTATTTCATATTACTTGATACAAGGACTTCTCGAAATATTCATGCCATGAATAGTATTCCTTACAGATCACGCTGTACTCTTTCGTGTTAACAATGACATAGTATGACATACGAGGGCTGGTCAAACAGGTCTTACTCTGAGTAACTTTTAACTATGGGTCATAGCAAAGTAAACTATTCAGTGTAGAACATTGATTACGTAGTTTATTGCAAGTGTATTTGTCTGTTGAGGCCGTTTGTATATAAGTGACAGCCAGTTGAACGTTATAGGGGTTCAAATGGACACAGTCATCGAAAAAACTAGTACCGAGCGGTCATCAAGAGTATGACTTCACATAAAAGTACTCCCCATGAATTTCATGACCGCATGTCACAAGTGTTTGGGGATAAGTGCCCTAGGTATTCCACTGCAGTTACGCTTAAGGCTGGGAGAATATCCTTTGATGATGACCTTATGTCTGGACGTACCTTAACATCCATCAATGAAGTTTCAATCAAGGAGATAGAAAAACCTTATACTGCCTGAGAGACGCATTACAATTGCTGAACTTGAGGAAGAAACAGTTCTAAGCCATGGATCCCTTGAAAGTAGTTTTATGAATATTTACAGTTGAATAATATATCTGCTCTTTGGGTTTTAAAGTATCGAAATTCTGACCTTAAGAGAAAAAAGATCTGACATTGCCGGAGAAAATATAGAGCTAATTGAGGAGGATTTCATCCAATTCAAAAAGAGATTTGTAACGGGTGATGAAACATGGGTCTACCATTATGATCCCGAATCAAATCGTCAGTCCCTGGAATGTCTACTTTCAAATTCTCCGGCGCCAAAGAAATTCGAGTCTTCAAGATCAGTGAAGAAAGTTATGGCCACTGTATTCTGGGATGCAATGAGTGTGATCCTTGTTGATTACTTAGACAGTCAAAAGACGATTACCGGTGCTTATTATACTGATCTGCCTTATCACCTGAGAGATTCTGTCAAAGAAAACCGGTAAAGAATGATGACTGCTGGAGATATACTGCTTCATGACAATGCCTCTTCTCACACCTCTCTTTTTGCAAAGGCTGCTGTGCGACAATGCGGGTTCAAAGAGCTTCCTCATCCTCCATAGTTCGCCTGGCACTAAATGATATCCACTTGTTTCCTAAACTGAGAGAGCACCTTCGTGATAAGCGCTATGACGACAACGATGACGTCAAAGCTGCCGTGGATGTTTTTGTTCAGGTTGATTTCAGAAAACTTCTTCCTGACTGGAATTAAAAAGCCTAACTATCCATATGAGAAGAGTATTGAAAAGCAAGGAGACTTTTTTTTTGGTTAGGCATATAACTTTGTTGACCAGCCCTCGTAATAACAATACAAACGTATGAAATAAAGAGTGTATATTTGGAACAAGAAGGCTCTTAGTTACAACGGAAATTATTGTAATACCTGATTGTGAATTTTAAACTTACAGATGCACATTTTTCCTACTTACTTTAAACACGTATTGATGACTAACGTAATTGTGAAATGTCTTAAGCTTACAAATAATGTTCTGAATTTGTTGCGTCGCTAATTTCAACGGAGACCAGTGGTGGTTCCACCAAGAATTGAAGTAGTTGTACAATTATTATAAATCATATGCCATAAACATAGGGCTTTACGCCGAACATGTATAACGTTTACTTTGGCTTTTGGCCAGTATTGTCCGCAGCTTTGCTAATGGCTTAATTTCCGAGTTGTCCAAGACCGGAAGACACAGATTTTGCTGCTTGAGGTCGATGGACCATGTTTTAGATAGTCAGTAATATTAGTTACTTGTGTCTAATTGGTTTTATATATAGTTTTGGTGGACTGATTTTCTGTTTGTCTTAATAATTGTTCTCGTGAGTACATAGCTACAAAATTATCCATTATACAATTTTAGCGTGGTTTATGTGAAGCATTCTAAAACTAAAGGAAATCTCTCTGAAACACTGCAACACCCATGTGATTCCGGGTTAGAATTTGTCCCCAAGAACGCATATGGGTCCCAAGAGGCGACCAAATTGATCGGGTGGACAGACTCGGTGACATACACCAATAGCGTGGAACGTTGCTCACAATATCAAACAATGTGGATGAAGGAATGTACACAATGGATCAAATGCTGGTGAAAATTCATTATGACTACTTGAAATAAAGGTATCGCTTAACTTGTATGATCTGATTCCTTTTCCTTTAAACATGAGGTGACAAATTACCTAAGTTTTGGTCTATGTCTTCTTCATCTTCAAATGCATCGTTGCGATGGGTATCGTCAGGATCAGCATCTGGAACATTGTGTAATTTCTGACCAGTGGACGCGTATTTCATATTACTTGATACAAGGACTTCTCGAAATATTCATGCCATGAATAGTTTATTCCTTACAGATCACACTGTACGCTATCATGTTTACAATGACATGGTATGACATACGAGGGCTGGTCGAACAGGTCTTACTCTGAGTAACTTTTAACTATGGGTCATAGCAAAGTGAACTATTCAGTGTAGAACATTAATTACGTAGTTCATTGCAAGTGTATTTTGTCTGTTGAGGCCGTTTGTATATTAGTGACAGCCAGTTGAACGTTATAGGGGTTCAAATGGACACAGTCATCGAAAAAACTAGTACCGAGCGGTCATCAAGAGTATGACTTCACATAAAAGTAGACCCCATGAATTTCATGACCGCATGTCACAAGTGTTTGGGGATAAGTGCCCTGGCTATTCCACTGCAGTTACGCTTAAGGCTGGGAGAATATCCTTTGATGATGACCTTATGTCTGGACGTACCTTAACATTCATCAATGAAGTTTCAATCAAGGAGATAGAAAAAAACTTATTCTGCCTGAGAGATGCATTACAATTGCTGAACTTGAGGAAGAAACAGTTCTAAGCCATGGATCCCTTGAAAGTAGTTTTATGAATATTAACAGTTGAATTATATATCTGCTCGTTGGGTTTCAAAGTATCGAAATTCTGATCTTAAGGAAAAAAAGATCTGACATTGCCGGAGAAAATATAGAGCTAATTGAGGAGGATTTCATCCAATTCAAAAAGAGATTTGTAACGGGTGATGAAACATGGGTCTACCATTATGATCCCGAATCAAATCGTCAGTCCCTGGAATGTCTACTTTCAAATTCTCCGGCGCCAAAGAAATTCGAGTCTTCAAGATCAGTGAAGAGAGTTATGGCCACTGTATTCTGGGATGCAATGAGTGTGATCCTTGTTGATTACTTAGACAGTCAAAAGACGATTACCGGTGCTTATTATACGGATCTGCTTTATCACCTGAGAGATTCTGTCAAAGAAAACCGGTAAAGAATGATGACTGCTGGAGATATACTGCTTCATGACAATGCCTCTTCTCACACCTCTCTTTTTGCAAAGGCTGCTGTGCGACAATGCGGGTTCAAAGAGCTTCCTCATCCTCCATAGTTCGCCTGGCACTAAATGATATCCACTTGTTTCCTAAACTGAGAGAGCACCTTCGTGATAAGCGCTATGACGACAACGATGACGTCAAAGCTGCCGTGGATGTTTTTGTTCAGGTTGATTTCAGAAAACTTCTTCCTGACTGGAATTAAAAAGCCTAACTATCCATACGAGAAGAGTATTGAAAAGCAGGGAGACTCTTTTTTTGGTTAGGCATATAACTTTGTTGACCAGCCGTCGTATTAACAATACAAACGTATGAAATAAAGAGTGTATATTTTGAATAAGAAGGCACTTAGTTACAACGGAAATTATTGTAATACCTGATTGTGAATTTCAAACTTACAGATACACATTTTTCCTACTTACTTTAAACACGTATTGATGACAAACTTAATTGTAAAATTTCTTAAGCTTACAAATAATGTTCTGAATTTGTTGTGACTCTAATTTCAACGGAGATCAGTGGTGGTTCCACCAAGAATTGAAGTAGTTGTACAATTATAATAAATCCTATGCCATAAACATAGGGCTTTCCGCTGAACATGTAAAACGTTTACTTTGGCCAGTATTGTCCGCAGCTTGGCCAATGCTTTAATTTCCGAGCTGTCCAAGACTGGAAGATACAGATTTTGCTGCTTGAGGTCGATGGACCGTGTTTTAGATAGTCAGTTATATTAGTTACTTGTGTCTAATTGTTTTTTTATGTAGTTTTGGTGAACTGATTTTCTGTTTGTCTGAATAATTGTTCTCGTCAGTAGATAGCTACAAAATTACAGACCCGGTATAAAATATGAACTGACGAGAGAGCTATGTTAATTACCTGTTATTGCTGTCTCTTGAATTTGACAATATATATTCTCAGCACCTGGAACATATATCATACCACATTTGCTAAGTGAAAGGCAGAGTACTCACCAAAGACAAAATACTTTCTGAACTACCCAAGCCTGACATATTGTTCTGTCTAAACAACAATAGTGTCATGTAAACATCACAGACCTTAGTTATATAACTCGAATATTACTGATTGCGATGTTAAATGAATTAACACACTTACTTCAAGCTCAGAATATTACTATTGCAGAAAGCTAAACATCCCCCTGAATAAACATATAACATCAACCCCAGAGAATAATCTGCGAAACAGATTATGGTGGGTGTAAAATGCAACATAACGATGGAGTATATACGAATGATCACCGAAAATCAGTGATCACACTAGGTGTGAGCGGAAAGGGTAAGCTTGTCCTGAAGCACCGACCACTCCCAAAATTGGCATAGAAAAGTAGGTCTTAGTTTCTTGTCCACCTCACAAATCTGTGCTTCTGGCAAGGACGACAGCCTGTAAACAATCGAGACTTGACAACACAATCCTATTAGACGATAGCACGTTTACTGATTTTATTGAAGCTAAAACCATTTTGTCCAAATAAAAGTGCTGGACGTTTGAGAGATTCAAATGCATATGCTTGTCTCTACATGGATATCCACACTTTGGAAATGACTTAGTAGGTGTGTTCTTTTACCACTATATAGACAGTATAACTGTTCACGTGATAACTAAGGTGTGATCTGATGGTCACTCAGTATGTCGCCAGTAGGTCAGTTTCTCTATTATACTGGTTTCCATACCTTCACTTTGTGTTCCAATGGTCTCGTAATCTGTTTGGGGTCTTGCAGGTATTGCATCTGATCTGGACGCCCGTTCAGATCTAGTACACAGTTATGAAATCAGATGCTATATTTTAGTATCTATGGTTCACACGACACAGTAAATATGTTCATGTTTATCACATATTTAAGAGCCCAAAACGCAAGGCTCTTCTCCTTTACATTGAAGAATTATTGTGCAGTGGGTTAGTGATATAACTGTGCTACAGACAAAGGTTACAGATAAAAAACAAAAATGCTCTTGGGGTTCATAATATACAAGTTGATATTACCATTCAGGTGGGGATTATCAATTTGGTTGTAGAGATTTATTAGTTTATTATGTTAACATAAAATACGTCGGTAAACGTTCCACATGATGGACAGTAATTTACTCTTGCAGGTAAGGAATGATAGAGAGCTGTACGAGCACTTGATTATCAGATTTAGAAACAACAGATGAGGAAAACCTTGACAACCTTCAACAGTTAAGAATTGGAGTGTTTCCTGTTCAGTATAAAGAAGGTTTCTTGAGAACCTTTGTTTTGAAATTTTCTCATAGAGGAGAAAGGTGAAAGGAGTGTAGCATTTTGTTGGAATATTCTTTCTGACGTGAATAAACCTTAGCTACAAATGCATTCGTCTTTATTTTATGGTATTTGAAATATCAATGAAAAGGACATCTGTTTTGGTATTTAATCATATGATGGCTTTCATCCCAATTATTTCTGTCTTTGCAATTTGATGATTTCTTAACCACAAATTATCTTTGTAATATTTTGTACTTTCATATTAAAACTTCATACTTCATATCGAAACAGTAACTGTACGATGTGTAAAAGCACAATATGCAACACATTTAGTTAAAAGGACAAATTACATAAAAAATGAACCCCTGAAAAGAATGGTTTTCACGATGCTGTGATGATAATATGCGAAAATTATGATTTAATAATCCCCAAACTGTAAATACATAGACGTGCTACAGACAATGAAAATATTCATACCTCTTTGATTTTTCTTTTGCTTTGCGGTTCGTTGGAACTGAAAACAAACATGAATATCACAAAGCAGCTGACACTGGATGTTAGCTTTCATTCAACAGAAATGTCTTGATGTGTGTATAGAATTGTATAATTATAATATATAAAGGTATATAGTTCTTGTAGTTGTGTGCATACCAAATGTCATTGATGCTGTTAACTTATACAAATACGCGTACGTTGCAGTCGCCTCCTCAGGTGTATAATGATGATAAGGAGCAGGATCATGGTAACTATGCCAACGGATCCTGTTACTATGGCAATCACTTCATTTTGGCTGGTAGTGTTATCACTCATGATCAACGAGGAAGCTTGCACTGTGACAGAAGAGGTTATTAAATTGAGGGAATGTAACACTAAACACACATGTATATGTTTGAGATGACATCTATCAAAATTGTACGTGAAGAGATACGACCGCTTTGCTAACCAACAAGCAAAACAATATTCCTGATATATATGTTCCTCAACGTTTAGGCTGAGAGCATGTCAACGAGAAAAGGATTACTTACAGACGTTGATCGTTGTTTGTACAGTAGATGTTCCCTGTTCATTCGTAGCAGAGCATGATAAGTTTCCCGCATCAGAAGAAGACACATGTTTCATAAACGTCTGTCCGTGACTGATATTGTTGTTGTGACACCACATGTACGAGGTGACAGCAGGGTTGGCGTCGTCGACGACACATTCGACTTCAACGGCATCTCCAGCCATGACACTGATGACATCTTGCCTTGGTGACAGGTGGATCTCTGGTGGGTCTTATGTTAGATACAATATTCAAGTACATATTTTAAAAGATCATGTATGTTTTTTTATAATTAGCACAACATCGAACATTCAAAATATACAAAACAAAGATCATGAAATATGTATACCCAATGATGATATATCAAATGGAACAGCTAACCACCTACGAGAAATTACTGGTTATCTGTCCGAAATTAATACTTTTGAAGTCGTGAGCCAAATTCCACTTTTGTTTAGGAGGACAGATTATCATTGATCCGATGTAAAAGTAAGTTCTAAATTCTAAATTCTACTAAATAGCTCTTTCACTTTTGAAGTCGCGAGCCATATTCCACTTTTGTTTAAGAGGACAGATTATCATTGATCTTTGGTGGATCTTAGGTGAAATAAGATACAAACCAGCAATATATGTTATAAAAAGTACTTTTCATATCTTGTTTTTATAAAATTAAAGATGGCACATAAATACATGTTTGTAACAAATAATAAGAATGCATGTAATAGGTTTTTGACATTACTTACATCTAACGTTTACAGTTGCAACTGCTCGTCCAGGTGTCATCATGTGTCCATTATCAGCAGTACAGATCAGTTCTCCTTGGTCAGACTTGGATATGTTACGTTTGAGGAATGTCGATCCATTACATGATTGTCCGTTGTGAGACCACTGGATTGTGTAAACACCAGGGTTGGCGTCATCCACAACACACCGTACACGGAGGTCTTCACCCACACCGACATCCAGGGTGTCATTGCTTGGTTCTAGATGTACAACTGGCGGGTCTGGAAATGCAACGTTTATGATTATGTCTGTCTTACTGTCATATGGTTCATTGCTAATGCCACAACATCTAATGGATGTGACATGGGTACAATATGTCAAGCCCATTTCTGGTGTCCCCCGCCGTGATATTGCTGGAATATTGCTAAAAGCGGCGTAAAACCAAACTCACTCACTCACTCTAATGGAAGTTGGACATAAAATTAATTTGTCACTTCAATGTAAATTGAATACAATAGATAGTACATGAACCTGTGCGTTCGGTTGTGTTTGACTTTGTTAACCTTTGAAATGCTAATCTTCTAGTGTTATTTTTACTAAACTGAAATCCGATTTTTTTACAAAGGATTACAACAATAACACATTTTGATGTGTAGCAAGTACTTATTTTATGAATGGTTTACCTATATTTCCAAACCTATATAGTGTGTCACCTGGATGGAAATTTGCAAATGCCTGCTATAATATTACACACACTGCATGTTTTCTTATGATGAAATATAACATAAAGTAAATGATCGAGATGTACAAATATAAATAATGGTAAATAATGTGACTGGGCATGTTCACTAGATGTAAGTTTGGCCCTGAAACGAAAATGTCACAATTTGTGATCCTACTCTGTATAATAAATACAAGAGCCAGTTTCATGATCATAACGTATCTTGATTGCATGGATAGCTCATCTTGCCCAGTTGTCCATGGCACTGCAGATCTGTAAGACGTGCCAGACACCTATGACTGTGGGTTCCAATACCAGATACACCATCATACGAAGGCTGGACAAAAATGTCACTGATATACAAACGGCCTCAACAGACCAAATACACTTTCAATGAACTTCTCAAACAATGTCCTCATTGACTTCTTAACTTTGTTATGACTCATAGTTGAACGTTAGTCAGACTTTGAACCTTTTGACCATCCCTCGTATGATCATTGACTTGTCAGCACCGTACTCATGTTCGTGGCCCTGCATCACTTCGGGCTTTCATTCCACATCAAGAAGACACACTGTTCAAAACTGCGTTAAACCAACTTCTCATTCTTGAACGCATACTGGGGAAATAATTCCTACTTTTTGTCTCTTCTTGTCTACTTCCTAATACATTTGCGATTCGCTGCGCAGAGTTGCGTCCCTTGGGCACGCCAGAAACCTATGATTGCGGGTTCGAATCCCGATTCGCCCCGATTATGTTTCTAGGTTTGTCAGCACCATACCCGTGCTCGTGGGTTTCACCGAAGTGGTAAACGTCTGAGACCTGCATCACTTTTGGCTTTCCTCCCACATTAAGCTGACACGCCGCGATATAACTGGAATACTGTTAAAAGCGGCGTTAAACCTAACTCACTCACTTACTCCTAATACATTTATGGATATTTAAGTTACTTTTACTTTTTATTTTTACGATTATATTATGACGTAATGGCCTTATGCCGTGGAACACTTACACCACACGTTGATTCGAGTGGAGGCGTGGACATTCCCTACACTGCATGTTAAACTGCCAGAGTCGGACTTGGATGTTACTGTTTTACTGAAGGCTTGTCCACTGTAGGGATGTCCATTGTGTGTCCAGCGGAACGAAGTGACCGGGGAGTTGGAGTAGTCGACCACACACACGACACCGATCACCTGACCAAGGAGGACGTTGAGGACACTTCCTGGCGGCTCCAGGTGGATTACCAGGGCAGCTGAAAATTGTTCTTATTATAATAGAATCCGTTCTAGGAGCTGAGACAACCAAAGGAAGAGTTATAATGAGGGTGATTACGGCGTATAAGATTCGCATCACACAAATTAGGGAAGGCAATACTGGGCCTTACATGTTACATGTATTGTAGTAGCTGCCCTTCTTGGTGTCATCATGTGTCCATTATCAGCAGTACAGGTCAGTTGTCCTTGGTCAGACTTGGATATGTTACGCTTGAGGAATGTCGATCCAGTACTCGTTTGTCCGTTGTGAGACCACTGGAATGTGTGCACACTTGGGTTGGCGTCATCTACTACACACCGTACACGAAGGTCTTCACCCACACCGACATCCAGGCTGTCATTTCTTGGTTCGAGATGTACCACTGGCGGGTCTGAAGATGGTAAGGATCAAGCCAGATATTAGTTGTATCATATTATGTAATACAACTACCGATGGAAAACTCCATAACATAAGTGTTAAAAAGAGAGGCATCTAAACACTCCTCACTACAACAGCCTCATCCTACCCGAAGTACATGCGGACTACCTGATAGCTAAATGTATCCTCCCGCATCAACCAAGGGTTTGTTACATTTCCAGACACAATATGTATTATCTGCTACTTAATAAAAAACAATTAAACCCGATGTCACGATCCTTACGATTATCCTAGAAGCGTACCCACTCATGACTTTCTTAATTCTTAAAATGGGCAATGTAGGCATTTTCTTTTTAATCACATAATTAACACCATATTTGTACACTTTTGACATAATAATATTTTTCATGTAAATCACTTACACCACACGTTGATTCGAGTGGAGGCGTGGACATTCCCTACACTGCATGTTAAACTGCCAGAGTCGGACTTGGATGTTACTGTTTTACTGAAGGCTTGTCCACTGTAGGAATGTCCATTGTGTGTCCAGCGGAACGAAGTGACCGGGGAGTTGGAGTAGTCGACCACACACACGACACCGATCACCTGACCAAGGAGGACGTTGAGGACACTTCCTTGTGGCTCAAGGTGGATTACCAGGGCAGCTGAAAATTGTTCTTATTATAATAACAAACATTCCTTGGAACTGAGACAACCACAGGAAGAGGTATAATGAGGGAAATTACGGCGTATAAGATTCGTATCACACATATTAGGAAAGGCAATACTTGGCCTTACATGTTACATGTATTGTAGTAGCTGCCCTTCCAGGTGCCATCATGTGTCCATTATCAGCAGTACAGGTCAGTTGTCCTTGGTCAGACTTGGATATGTTACGCTTGAGGAATGTCGAGCCAGTACTCGTTTGTCCGTTGTGAGACCACTGGAATGTGTGCACACTTGGGTTGGCGTCATCCACTACACACCGTACACGGAGGTCTTCACCCACACCGATATCCAGGCTGTGATTTCTTGGCTCCAGATGTACCACCGGCGGGTCTGAAGTTGTTAAGGATCAAGCCAGAGATTAGTTGTATCATTCTATGTAATACAACACCGATGGAAAACTCCATAGCATAAGTGTTAAAAAGAGAGGCATCTAAACATTCCGCACTACCACAACCTCATCCTACCTGAAGTACACTCGGACGAACTGATTGCTAAGTGCACCCTAAGTGTTTGTTATATATCCATACACCACTTGTGTAACCTACTACTTTATAGAGAACCTTTTCCATCTCAGGCCGTGTCATACCAAAAGACTTTAAAAGATAGTACTTGTTGTTAACCTGTCTGGTGCTCGGCATTTAGAGGCTAAGAATGAACTGGTCGGCTCGGAGTCAGTATACTGTGACTGAGTGGGGTATTCATGTTAAACGGCAGCATGGTATCTCAGTATGGTGGCACTAAAAGTCAGTCCGGACTAGCACAAGCAGCCACACACACACACACACACACACACACACACACACACACACACACACACACACACACACACACACACACACACACACACACACACACACGTGCATGCACGCCACTATATAAATGTAATAATCTTGGACGTCACGTTAAGCCTCATTTCACCTCACCTTGTTATAGAAATATACCCACTAAAACCTTTCATAATTCTGAAAATGAGCCATCAAAGGATTTTCTTTTTATTCACGAAAATTACAACCCTCTTGTTCCCTCGTTAATGCAATAATATTCTTGATCTGAATCACTTACACAGAACACTGAGTCGAGTGGAGGCGTGGACATTCCCTACACTGCATGTTAAACTGCCAGAGTCAGCTTTGGAAGTTATTGTTTTACTGAAGGTTTGCCCACTGTATGATTGTCCACTGTGTGTCCATCTGAACGAAGTGACCGGGGAGTTCGAGTAACCGACCACACACTTGACGCTGACCACCTGACCAATGATGACGTTGAGGACACTTCCTGTCGGCTCAAGGTGGATATTCAGGGTAGCTGAAAGATAATACAATATACAATATGCAAACACAACAGCAGCTTCTGTATCAAACACACCTCCACGACACACCACTCCACATAACTACTGTGTCAAACCACTCCTCATCACTACTGTGTCAAACACACCTCCACGACACACCACTCCACATACATGTAACTACTGTGTCAAACACTTCGCAAGGACATGCCACTCCTCATCACTACTGTGTCAAACACACCTCCACGACACACCACTCCACATAACTACTGTGTCAAAGACTTCGCAAGGACATGCCACTCCTCATTACTACTGTGTCAAACACACCTCCACGACACACCACTCCACATAACTACTGTGTCAAACACTCCGCAAGGACATACCACTCCTCATCACTACTGTGTCAAACACACCTCCACGACACACCACTCCACATAACTACTGTGTCAAACACTTCACAAGGACATGCCACTCCTCATCACTACTGTGTCAAACACACCTCCAAGACACACCACTCCCCATCACTACGGTTTCAAACACGCCCCCCCCCCCCCCCCACACACACACACACACACACACGGCATACCACCTCACAATATTCCTGTATCAAAGGCCCCTCCACTGCATACCAACAGACACCATTGCTTTGTCAAAAGCACCTAACTGGAATACAACCCCACATCACTAACGTTTCAAACCAACCTCCACGGAACACCACCCCACAACATTCCTGTGTCAAAGGCACCTCTACGGAAATACACGACATAACACGCTAACATTACTATGTCTCTGACCAACCTCCACAACATAACACGCTAACATTACTACTTCTCTGACCCAACCCCAGGACATAACACGCAAACATTACTACGTCTCTGACGCACCTCCACGACATAACACGCTAACATTACGACGTCTCTGACCCACCTCCACAACATAACACGCTTACATTACTACGTCTCTGATCCACCCCCACAACATAACACGCTAACATTACTACGTCTCTGATCCACACCCACAACATAACATGCTAACATTACTATGTCTCTGACCCACCAACACGACATAACACGCTAACATTACGACGTCTCTGACGCACCTCCACAACATAACACGCTAACATTACTACGTCTCTGACCTACCTCCACAACATAACACGCTTACATTACTACGTCTCTAATCCACCCCCACGACATAACACGCTAACATTTCGACGTCTCTGAACCACCCCCACAACATAACACGCTAACATTACTACGTCTCTGACCTACCTTCAAGACAAAACACGCTAACATTATTACGTCTGTTACCCACCTCCACGACACACCACGCCCACATCACTACTGTGAGCACAGCTTATCGCTGTTCCCCAACCAGAATGGGAACACTGATCCAGGGAGGTCTCGGTTCCCGTACAGTCGACGTTACTCAGCCAAATAATTCCTTCACCTGGTCCATAAGATGTAGTCACATAGGCGGTCGTCCTAGAAAACCATAGAGATGTTTGCCTTGCTAATTCGTCATTTCATTTTACTTATGCTGCCAACAATTTTAGGATCTATACCGAGACTTCACTGTAAAAGTCTATACAAGAGGTTATTTTCAAAAGGTTGAGTCTATTTTGTCTTCCAAGAAATACCTCTACAATTCACATGTTCAAAGTATTCCTAGTGCAGTAAGGGTCTTCTAGATTCAATAGTTAACAATATCACTTGTAAGAAGCTTATTACGTTAGTTTCAAACAGATACTAGTTTCTGAAATAAGAAGGGAATAGAAATTAAAGTGACCGTGACATACGACAGGTGTCGATTTAGTCATACAAAGTTTATGTAGCTGAAAAACGCTTTTGGCACCAAACTCTATCAAACCATGATGAACTCTTTACTAGAGAAGTATGAATAATTATAGTAGGCTTCATGAGACCCATGACTAAGCTCGAGTTTAAAAGGTGAATAGTCGTGCGAAGATGTCCTTACCAGGGCAGATTTGCCATTTTACACACAACTTGTGCCTCCTGTGAGGAAAACGACGACCCTCTACAAACTGTTCCCCAGACATCGTTGTGAAGTACTTCTACCCGACCCCGTCCACGAGTTGTCGAATTCAAGCGTATTTGAAGATCAGCTGGAACAAAGAATGCCACAGAAGGTAAAACACGTCATTGTTTGCATCACCTTTATTTCTATTTTGACACATTATTCCTACAGTTTTGACACATTATTCCTACAGTTTTGACACAAAATACAACTTACCAGAGGGACACTGTATTCCGACTACTATTGAGGAACAGGTAACACTGCCCCATGGATAGTGAAGACATTCATTGAGAGAGAGCTCTGTGCCAAGACACTTGACTTTATCTAGGATGACGTGCCGTGATGAACTGACGGTATTTAGATATGAGCTGGCGAGGGCCCCAATGCTAAATATCAAGTAGAGTGTGTCAAATAGTTTCAAAACAATAGTTGGGATCAATGAAAAAGGTTAAATGTGTGTCAAATGTGTATCTAGTTATTTGTAATAGAAGTGAGTGAATGAGTTTTGTTTTACGCCGCTTTTAGCAATATTCCAGCAATATCACGGCGGGGGACACCAGAAATGGGCTTCACACATTGTACCCATGTCGGGAATCGAACCCGGGTCTTCGGCGTGACGAGCGAACGATTTAACCACTAGGATAACTGCCCGCCCCTGCCTACTAACATAAGATTTGTAGATTGACTTTCCACACAAGAAGACATATCCAGCTATACTTGGTTAAATATGTTTTTACGTGTTGTGTCCCAACATTCTACAGGCAACTGTTGCCTCTTCCACTCCGAACCCAATACAGCAGACTCTTCCCCATTGTCCACCATGGTACAGCTCCAGCACTCCCTCCCCTGGCGTGTTGGTGGTGGATACAAGTCTTGCCGCTGTAGAATCTGATGAAGACATCATGCTGACATTATTTGGATAAATATGTAGCTGTCAGCTGTTGGCCTGCATACATGTCCATTCCATAGAATCGTAACATGGACGTATTTGGTTCTGATTTGTATTTTTATGGAAAGATTACTTGTCAACATAGAACTAGTTCTAAGACTTTGGTATTCTGCATTGTGTACACAGTAAACTCAATATAAAACATGTTATTGTGTAACTACTATGAATCACTCTTAACCTGAAGTTCAAGGAACAACACGCCAATTAACTCCCGTGACACACACTAAAATCACTTGTACCATATTCTGATTTTGGAGTCACTCTATTACTGAATGCAAAGGACGATTTGGAATAGAAGACAAAATCATTTCCATAATCCAAAGAAAGCCCTGCTAAAAGCACACAAGACACAAGACTCCGACACAAGACACTTGATAATGAAAGACGGGTGCCAAAACATGTTATATCAAATGTCTCGGTTTTACGAGGCAACGAAGAAACCATATGGAACCCGTGGGTAATGCCAATTAGATAATAATCAGTCTCGATTAAAAACCGATCGCGATTCCATGGGGCGGAAAAGCAAAATAGTGATGCAATTATATGAATGCATTACTGAAAATCAGGGGATGACACCAGGGGTCCGTGAATATGGTCTACTGGTAGCACCTGCCACCATTTTCAGAAAGCCTGACCAGACAATCCAGTGATCAGTTAATGATCCAAAGCATACCTTCAGGAAATGAAAAACACTGGACACCAACAGCTTCAGAGTCGCTACAGTCATCACTCCCCCATTGTCTGTGCTTGCAGTATTTCAGATCTGTATTCCGCATCGTGCACTGCACGTCATCTAACCACATTGTTATTGAACTGCTTTCATCGATTACCTTTCCCCCTCTGAAAATATAGAGAGAAAAGACACCTTTGCAAAAATAAACATTGTTATATCAGCTATATGTTATGGTGGGTGAGAGAATTTGGCCTAATGCCGCTTTGGACATTAATTCAGTTATAAACTAAGCGGCAAAAGAATGTATAGGTTGGCAATTTGTAATTTTCCTAAAAACAGCGATAAGTAGTGGAAAGTGGGTATTTGGAATATGACTGCCAAGGAACAGGTGCCAAAAAAACACCTCTCACGAACGCGCCACCTTTGACGGCGCCCGTGCGGTGACCAAAAAATGGTGAAACAGGTTTCCCGCCTATGGCATAAACTGCACGTGCATGGAAGCTGTATAAATGCGTTCGTCTTTCAACCACACGTGATGAAAGCACACAAAAGAAATGCCACGACTGTCACAGGAGCAGAGAGAGAGAGCCATCGGTATGGCCGAAATGGGGGCAACACAGGTCCAAATTGCTAGAAGGTTTGGTTGTACACCATTGACAGTAGCCAGGCTGATTCAACGGTACAGGCAGACAGGAAGGTCACAGGACAGGCCTAGAACCGGACGACCCCGAGTGACAACACCACTTGAAGACGGTCAGCTACGGCTCATTCACCTGCGAAACAGATTCGTAACGGCGACGGCGACGGCAGCATTAGCGTTGGGACATCCCATTAGCCAACGTACAGTACTACGACGACTTCGTGCTGCTGGAAGCCGAGCGTATCGTCCTTTCCGAGTTCTGTTTACTGATGAAAGTCGATTTAACTTGTTTCGAAATGACGACAGAGAACGAGTTTATCGACGCAGAGGGGAACGCTTGGCTCCGGCGTGTATTCGGGAGGTCCATCCATTCGGCGGAAGAGGTGTCATGGTGTGGTGCGGTATTTGTGGAGATCAGAAGACTGATTTGGTGATTATACAGGGAAACCTGAACGCTGTGCAGGACAGAGACCAAGTGTTGCAGCCAGTTGTGCTCCCGTTCTTACAAAACCAACACATCAATGCCAGGCCCCATACTGCAAGACTGACTCGGAACTTTTTAAACCAGCAGAACGTTGACGTTTTGCCCTGGCCTGCCCACTCACCCGATATGAATCCTATTGAACATCTGTGGGACCATCTTGACAGACGAATTAGAGCACGCCATCAGCCTCCCGTCAACAAACAAGAATTGCAGCAGGCCCTGAGAGACGAGTGGCAACGGATTCCAGTCCACGTCATCAGAAGCCTGACGTCATCGATGAGGCGGCGTATCACAGCATGCATTGAGGCAGCTGGAGGTCATACACGCTATTGAAGGCAACTGTGTCGACTGTGTCCCTAGATTATATTATAATTCACAACAAAACCTCTTCTTGTTATTTTTTTATCGACCATGGAACTCGACCTATACTTTCTTTTGCCGCCGAGTTTATCACCGTTTGTCACGCTGACGTGGAAAGAAAGTCCAAAGTGGTGCAGACCTTAGACGTTTACCACTTTGGTGAAACATCAAGCATGAGTTTGGTGCTGTCAAACATTGCAAATCGGGATTTCAACCTACCATCATCTGTTTCTGCCTAAGTGAAGCATCTCTACACAGCAACTTATGACATGTTAAACCACTGGGCTACCCAGGAATTAAGAACAACTGAAGGCACTAGTCTTTAATTGGGTTACAGAAGTTCTTCGTAGTTCCTGATACTAAGTTGCGCCCAATTCAAATGTCGAGTTCCAACTTATTGTCAAGTTTGCATTTTCTGATAACAAGATTCCGGCACTTGGTAACCGCCAATCGTTTCGTCAAGACAACATTGGCATTTCAAATGATCTGACACTTAATCAAAGACAGACTATTGCAGAAATGCGAAGTCGTGGTCTATTTGCATTTTTCAAGAACGGCCGCCTTCAGACAAAAGTGTTTACTCACACATAACCTTAAAGTTCTATCCTGGAATATTAACGGGATATCATCTGAACTCGATGATTGTGATTTTCTGAAATATTTATCAGAGTTTGACATTGTGTATTTACTGGAAACGTTCCGCAATAAGTTATTATCAATTCCACATTTATCAGAGCATACCCCTTATTTAGCAAAGGCACATAAAACTGCCCGTCATGGACGACTGTCAGGCGGTATGTATGTTTTTGTCAATAAGTCATTAGATGCATTGTGCACACAGGTAATGCTTGGTGTTGACAATTCTGTTGCTCTAAGAATATCTAAACGGGTATTGCAAAGCAAAAAGGTATTTTCTTGATAGGTATGGACGTACCACCAGAGGGGTCCACATACCCCATCAAGTGGAAAAGGTAATGGTATTGAACTCCTTGAACAGGGGCTGGTTGAGAACCCAGATATCTTAGCTGACTGTTACGTGATTATCACCGGTGATCTGAACGCCAGAGTTAGACAAAGTAACAACCCGCCTGTGAATTTATCTGACTTTACCGGTAACGTTTTTCCTCAAGAGGAACCGGTACCACTTAAAAATCGCAAGTCAAGTGACAAGGTTATCAATAGATTTGGAAGAATATTGCTTAAGTTGTGTTATACTTTTAATATATATATTCTCAACGGTCGAGTGTCTATGAGCGCCGACGGCGAATTTACCTTTATATCTGAGCAGGGTTCAAGTGTAAATGATTATTTTATCGCTGGAGTTGATGCTTTTCAGCTAGTGGATAATTACAAATACACCTGGAATCCAACTCTAGCTAATGCATATATTGAAAATATCCTCTGTGCCTCCCAATCATCTTTGTTAGCAGCAACACAGCTCGTGGATATAAGCATCGATCGCGCCCTCGAATCATTTGTCCAGGCCGTTTTAAAAGCAGCCGAATGTATGAGAAAGCGTAAATTTACAGGCGCTTCCAGTGGCTTTTTTATATTCACCGTAAGCAAGCAAAGTATCGAACTCGCAAGACTTTCGGAAAAGCAAATCTGTTCAAAATAGGCGTCTTTATTGTGTTGAAATAAATACATACAAGAGCATTTTTAGGCAGACAAAACAAGCTTATCAAGTAAAAAAAGCAGATATGTTAAAACAAACAACAAATAACCCTGCTAGATTTTGGAGGGTATTTAGGGGTATATCTACAGTACCCCGTCATTTTAACACTATCAGTCAGAATATGTGGTTTACATATTTCAGTGAAATGTTTCAGTCCGACAGTATAAACCTCAAGGACAATCAGATTAATATTGAAGACCCGCCTTTAGATGAAATTGATGATATTATACTAGAATCGCCTATTACAGAGGTAGAAATAGAAAAGGCTCTTCATCATATACAAAATGGCAAATCTGCGGGTAAAGATGAGATTTTGATTGAAATGTTAAAAAGTACATCAGACAGTTTTATGCCATTTTTTATTTGCCTCTTTAATAAGATCTACAACTCTGGTATATTTCCTTCAGTTTGGACCCAGTCTATTATAGTACCGCTGCATAAGAGTGAGTGAGTGAGTTGGGTTTAACGCCGTTTTTAACAGTATTACAGTTATATCGCGGCGTGTCGACTTAATGTGGGAGGAAAGCCCGAAGTGATGCAGGTCTCAGACGTTTACCACTTCGGTGAAACCCACGAGCACGGGTATGGTGCTGACAAACCGAGAACCATAATTAGGGCGAAGCGGGATTCGAACCCACAATCATAGGTTTCTGGCGTGCCCAAGGGACGCAACTCTGCACAGCGAATCGCGGCGTCTTAGACGACTGGGCCACCCGTGCCCCCCTGCTACATAAGAAGGGAGATACGAAGATTCGAGACAACTACAGGGGAATTTCACTATTAAGCGTTATAAGCAAAATATATACGGGTGTTCTCAATAACAGACTTTCCAATTGGGCAGAACTAAAGGACAAAATATCAGAGTCGCAGGCATCTTTCCGAGCTGGGTATTCCACCATCGATCATATTTTTCCTCTACACTCTATTATAGAAAAGTGTTTGATTAAAAGAGGAAAAAACTATATGTTGCATTTATAGATTTTAAGAAAGTATTCGACTATGTAAAAAGAAATAAACTATGGCACTGTTTCCAATGTAATGGCCTGGGTGAAAAAATGTTATCAGCCCTAAAAGCCATTTACTGTTCTGTTAAATCTTGTGTTTGACAAACTTCCTCGTGTACCGATTTCTTTGACTGTCCAAATGGTGTACGCCAAGGTTGCATACTTAGCCCTTTGCTATTTTCTTTATTTATAGGGGAACTTTCAAAAGCTTTAAATGAAAACGGTAAACATGGCATACAATTATTTCCAGATATGTATAATATTTTGTTCCTGTTATTTGCAGATGACGTCATCCTTGTCTCAGAATCGATTGCCGGTTTACAGACTCAGCTTAACATCCTTAGGGGGTTTACAGATACATGGGGATTAACTGTTAACATACCAAAATCAAACGTAGGCCTACACACAAATAAACTAGTTTTGACCTTTTTTTTAAACTTGTCTCAGAATCGATTGCCGGTTTACAGACTCAGCTTAACATCCTTGGGGGGTTTACAGATACACACAAATAAACTAATTTTGACCTTTTTTTTAACCATATCATGAAAAAAACTCTTTGTAATGCTTCTGTAATGATATGTAGCGTTCCAATATTTCCCTGCAATATGGAGACACTGAGAAAGGGCTTCACACAGTGTACCCATGTGTTGAATCGAACCCGCGTTTTAACAAGGTTACCCCACCGCCCGTCCCTGTTAGAGATTGTGAATTTCAAGGAAATGGCTACAATAAGCAAGTTTTTTCTGTCTAATGTGTTAATGTATTGATGTGTTTCCATTGTTAATAATCCAGGGTGTATGTGTTTCAATGATAAATAAGCATTTAATTAAATATTTCGGGATATAAAAAGACGTTGAACTACAACTTACTGGTATCCAAGTGCCTTGCACACAACTGAAGCTTCTACTAGGCCGAAATAGTCATCACACACTGTGCCCCATCTACCGGAGTGGTACACCTGTAGGAGTCCTTTGTTGTAGCTCGGTGTCAGCTTCATCGTTATGTCACCTGGTAAAACAATGTAACGTAAACTGTTCTCTTGCAATTGTAGTAATGAAAACCAATATCATTTGTCGTACAAATTTGTAATGTATAATGTTAAGATACCTGTCATCATTTTGCCCATTTTAACCGCACGTACATCTGTCAATCGACAGCGTCGAAAGTTTTATTGTGAATTAGTATAGGACAAAGAAAATATAAAAAAGTATATATGTTTCATCCCAGGCATGCAGTCAAACACAAACACTGACTTTGATATTCTACTTTGTGCACATAGCGTGAGAATGTTTTGCTAAATTATAATACATATTTACAAATGCTGAGGCCGAACTCAATAACTCGGTAGTTTTGAACCGCCGGTTGTTAACGTTAACAGCATGCATGTTACATTGCTTATGTGAACTGTTGTCTGACTAGCCTTCAAACTCAAGCACAGTCCCGAATAGAGTATATGATCTTACTAACGTCGACTTTCTATCAAAGAATCTTGTTGAGTGGTGGTCGAGTTTTGTTATGTCGAACATATAAAATTATGTCAAATATCCAGGCTGCAAAGAAGAATATCTGTTTTTGCCTTCAACCTACCACTGAATGAAATGCACACCAGGAGTATTACATCAGCTGGTATCCACTACGCAAATTTAATACAAAGTAAAACACATTCATTGAGGGTTATGGGCGACTCTTTAGTGTTGCATAACAATAACTGATACATGTGGTTAGGTCAGGCGGCTTGTACATTATCAGGACGAATTCTCGGATTCGAACCAGCGATCGTAGATTTCTTGCATGCTAGGGACACATCTCTGCATAGACAATTGCTACTGTTGCCTCTCTTGTTGAGTATCGAGTACGTTTGGGGATAAATGATTTTTTTACCAGCGTGTACCAGTTTCCTTTTTCTGATCACGACCGTGTATAAACAGTGACGGTGAATGGATTGCAGTACCTGAATGATGAACAATGCTTCTGATATTCAAGTAAATATATGTTCAGGTAATAACTCACTTGGATCACATATGATGCCAACATCTTCACTGTGAAGACAATTGTGGGCGCCCAATGGTCTGTGTGAACAGCTGGCCAAAGATGACTCGGTACCGGAACAACTCACGTCATCCAACCAAATCTTTCCTCCTCCAAATCCAAAACGTTGAATTGCCCTTGGTGTAAGTCCGCTTTTACTAAACGCACAAAAAAAGTTAAATTTAATTATAGCAGCACAACATTATGATGACAATGAATAGTCACAAACGGGGAATAATGGATGATGATTGAACGTCAGTTACCTCACCTGTCTCACTACACCCAATAGATACTAGCATAGCATGATGCCCAACTACTGTCCCGATTACTTCACCAACACATGCTACAAGTACTATTGTAGTGTGTGGAGATGTTACTGGTAGTTATTGTCTAGCCCTATGTACGTCGTGAAAGTAATATTTTAAAGTGTCCTACTATTAACATATCTACCAAACCTACCTCAGTATATCATACAACTACGATTATGAGATGGTGTCCTACTATTGTCATATCTACCAAACCTACCTCAGTACATCATACAACTACGATTATGAGATGGTGTCCTACTATTGTCATATCTACCAAACCTACCTCAGTACATCATACAACTACGATTCTGACATGGTGTCCTACTAGTGTTACATCTACCAAACCTACCTCAGTACATCATACAACTACGATTATGACATGGTGTCCTACTAGTGTTACATCTACCAAACCTACCTCAGTACATCATACAACTACGATTATGACATGGTGTCCTACTACTGTCATAGTTATCAAACCAACCTCAGTACATCATACAACTACGATTATGACATGGTGTCCTACTATTGTCATGTCTATCAAACCTACCTCAGTACATCATACAACTACGATTATGACATGGTGTCCTACTATTGTCACATCTACCAAACCTACCTCAGTACATCATACATCTACGATTATGACATGGTTTCCTACTATTGTCATATCTACCAAACCTACCCCAGTACATCATAGAACTACGATTATGACATGGTGTCCTACTATTGTCATATCTACCAAACCTTCCTCAGTACATCATACAACTACGATTCTGACATGGTGTCCTACTAGTGTTACATCTACCAAACCTACCTCAGTACATCATACAACTACGATTATGACATGGTGTCCTACTAGTGTTACATCTACCAAACCTACCTCAGTACATCATACAACTACGATTATGACATGGTGTCCTACTACTGTCATAGTTATCAAACCAACCTCAGTACATCATACAACTACGATTATGACACGGTTTCCTACTATTGTCATGTCTATCAAACCTACCTCAGTACATCATACAACTACGATTATGACATGGTGTCCTACTAGTGTCACATCTACCAAACCTACCTCAGTACATCATACATCTACGATAATGACATGGTGTCCTACTATTGTCACATCTACCAAACCTACCTCAGTACATCATACATCTACGATTATGACATGGTGTCCTACTATTGTCATATCTACCAAACCTACCCCAGTACATCATAGAACTACGATTATGACATGGTGTCCTACTATTTTCACATCTACTAAACCTACCTCAGTACATCATACAACTACGATTCTGACATGGTGTCCTACTAGTGTTACATCTACCAAACCTACCTCAGTACATCATACAACTACGATTATGACATGGTGTCCTACTACTGTCATAGTTATCAAACCAACCTCAGTACATCATACAACTACGATTAGGAGATATTGTCCTTCTATTGTCATATCTACAAAACCTACCTCAGTACATCATACAACTACGATTCTGACATGGTGTCCTACTATTGTCATATCTACCAAACCTACCTCAGAAAATCACACAACTACGATTATGCACATGGTGTACTACTATTGTCACATCTACCAAACCTACCTCAGTACATCATACAACTACGATTATGACATGGTGTCTTACTATTGTCACATCTACCAAACCTACCTCAGTACATCATACAACTACGATTCTGACATGGTGTCCTACTAGTGTCACATCTACTAAACCTACCTCAGTACATCATACAACTACGATTATGACATGGTGTCCTACTATTGTCATATCTACCAAACCTACCCCAGTACATCATAGAACTACGATTATGACATGGTGTCCTACTATTGTCATATCTACCAAACCTACCTCAGTACATCATACAACTACGATTATGACATGCTGTGCTATCATTGTCACATCTACCAAACCTACCTCAGTACATCATACATCTACGATAATGACATGGTGTCCTACTATTGTCACATCTACCAAACCTACCTCAGTACATCATACATCTACGATAATGACATGGTGTCCTACTATTGTCATATCTACCCAACCTACCCCAGTATATTGAACTAGTTTTATATGTTAGGGCGGTTTACGTTTGCCCTGGTACCCTCGCATATCTCGTCATCGTATTAGTCTCTCACAATAATGTGCAAACATGAGCCAGCTTTTGTTATTTCGACATAGCCTTTACTCCACGAAGCCAGCAATACATATAAGCTCCATTTTGATCAGGAACCTACATAGTTTCAAAAAGAGCACATTCTTATTCATAAACACGCGCCTAAGTTAAATGTAAAGGCGTAAGTTATTTGTTCATTTTCACCTTGGTATTGGGACATCATAGTTCTCCTAAATGTTATGACGTCACGTAACTATATGTTACTACTTCATGTCCGTTATTCAGTTATGGCCTGAGACTCGTATGCGGTACGAGTTGAAACCGCTAGCAACTTAAAACTGTGTTCAATCTTACTCCACTTATTTAATTATTACTATATTGTGCCTGAGAGTTACAACTTTACTATAACTATATATATATATATATATATATATATATATATATATATATATATACTCTTCAAAAAAAAGAAACTTGACACTGACTTTCAAAATGTGATATAATGCGATTGTTTCAAAATAGGACACAGAAACCATAACTAAAACAATGTTTGAAGATCAATGTACACAATGTTCAAAACATTAATCAGACACACGTACACGATACAGTTAATTTCACAGGGGTACAGAAAATGTCAGTATCGGTTGTGCCTACCACGTGCATCAACCACCGCTTGACACCTACGATCCATAGATGCAATCAAGTTGTCAATAACACGCTGTTGGATGTGCTGCCATTCATGCTGAAGTGCATCAAGAAGCGCCGGAAGTGTTTGGGGCGGTGGATTCCTTCTACGAACGCGTCGATCCAAATCGTCCCACAGATGCTCAATCGGGGTCAAATCTGGTGACCGGGCTGGCCAAGGTAATGTCTGGATGTTGTTGTGCTGTAAGAAGTCCTGACAAACACGTGCAATATGCGGTCGAGCGTTGTCCTGCTGGAACTGTCCGCCATGAGCGTTGACGTGAGGAAGAACGTTAGGCTGTAGGATCAATTCTCTGTAACGCACAATCGCAATGCACCTACCACATGCACGAGAGGCGTCCTACCACCGTGATGAATTCCGGCCTATACCATGACACTCCCGCCGCCAAATGGGACAACCTGCTGCACACAGTTGGGGGCGTAACGTTCACCCCGACGTCTATAGACACGTGCGCGCTTATCAGCACGTGTGAGTAGGAAACGGGATTCGTCAGTAAACAGTATATTTCTCCACCTTGCACGTACCCATCTAACCCTCTGTTGGCACCAAAGCAGACGGTCCGCCATATGACGTGGGGTCAATACATGACGTCGAACAGGTCTTCGTGCAAAAAGTCCATCCTCCCTCAGTCTGTTGTGTACCGTTCGATCTGATATTCTGCGTACCCAATGGATCTGTGTGGTTGTAGACGTGGCTGTTGTAGTGTGGTCTCGGAGATGTCGCAGCCGGATGTATCGATCTTGTGCTTTGGTTGTCACCCTTGGTCTTCCTGACCTTTGTCTTTCGTCAACTCTGTTGGTGTTATTGTATCGGGTCCACAGTGCGGAGTTTGTTTGCCTAGCCACTTCTTGCTGAGTTGTTCCAGCTTGTTATCTCCCAATGGCGTTGTTCCGTTGAGCTGCATTCAGTCTTGGCATTCTGTCACCGCCTCTACTGCCGTTATAAGGACTGTATGAACAGTCGTTGATGTGGATTTTCATACCCATTCAGCAGGGGGGCCTGCATGCCTAAATGCATGATCCTCTGCTGCACGTTTTTTACAGGCGGTTGCGTTTGGATGAAGCTGTAAAATTGATCCCCAAACGCTACGTTTATGTGCTTTGCATGTGTTTTCGCGAATTATAGACACATCATCTTTCTGTTTGACTTATTTAGTTCTCATTTAATGTAATTATTTTAGATATTTGGCAAAACGTGGTTTTACATCTATGTCAAGTTTCTTTTTTTACGAGTATATATATAAAAGTATTGTTTGTTTCGTTTAGTACTTGTTTAACATTAATATTCCGGGGATGCGAGGGCGTCCTGTAAATATATCAGGTCCGCTGTACACAGGGTGTCTTACTATCGTCCCAGTTGTCTGCAGGCCACCTTGGCTTCATCTGCCCCAAAGCCATCGTCACAAACAGTGCCCCATGTACCGTTATAGAACACCTCAATTCTCCCAACACCGTTGTTCAGGGGGGACACCAGTCGGATTGTCTGGCCAGACACTGAAACTTTGAAAGGATTTGGCAATATTAAACAAAATCGCCCTGGTATTTAACATGTTGGACACATGTTTCCAGCTACAAAAGCCAGAACAATGTATTTGTTTTTTATAAAGTACATATGTGAAATATTCAAGCTGTAAATATAATATGGCTGGTTATGGGCGACGGTAGACGCCTTACAACACCCACTGATCCAGGTCGGACGGCTTACGGTGTGATCACTTTCTTTTTTTTCACTGTGGAGCTTCCTGGTAGATAGCTGGATATGTGTAAATAGGGCTTGTTGAGTACAGTTTTTTTCATATCTGGCTGCGTTCGTGATTGAGTGTGTCAATACTTGAGCTGATCAACGTGTTATTGTGATTTAATGAATTCCTATCGCGACATACATAACCTCACCATGATGCTTGGTAAGATAAAATAAGATATTACCTTTCTCCACTCCAAAAAGAACAAAAACTAATAAATCATGCCTGAAGATCGTAACAGACGCTTTCTCGGTGTTGTTTGTCGCCTGAGTGAGTGAGTGAGTGAGTGAGTGAGTGAGTGAGTGAGTTAGTGAGTTAATATTTAACGTCACATCGGCAATATTTCAACCATATCGTGACGAGAAGTAATACATTATTCACACATATATCTAAACCTGTCATCAAAGGACGGTACAATAACTAGAATATCACAGAGTATATTTAAAACTAGTTGAGGAACATTTAAAAGCAAAAACAAATAACAACCCAATATAAAAATGGGCTAGAGATCGTCAGTAACTAAAGGGAGATCACTACACCAGGGGACTTTCAGTGCCTTTGCTTCCTGCATGGACCCTGGCTGGATTTATATAGTCCCTTCAGTCACTGGCGATATTTTACCAGTTAAGCCGAATATTGAAATGACGAAAATTCTACGTTTTAAAATTCTGGCGTGCATATAAATACTTCGAATGATGTGGGACTTACATACCCTCTTAGGGGGCAATAATTGTATGCTACTTCAACCCCCCCTCGAGGGTACAGCCACTAAGAATTTAAGTTATGAATTAGCACTACCAATTTTTAAAACAATACAGTAAATACATCACAATTTATGAATAAGTTCTATTTCTTTTAAAAAACATAGTATGAAAAGATAATTAACTTTACTAAAAAGGTCCATCACTGTTTTTACACTGAAATATTTATCCCTTGTGATGGAAAAATCAATACAGTCAAGCAGGATATGCTTGACCGTGAATCTTTCATCACAAGGGATACAAAACGGAGGGTCCTCGCTTTTTAAGAAATACTCATGGGTATATCTCGAATGGCCATTACGACATCGTCGCATAATTACCTCTTCAAATCTGGACTGTCAACCCAAGTAGGTGTAACCAATATTTGGTTTAATTTCATGTAATTTATTGATACCTACATGGGTGTCCAACTTCTTTTGCATTAGATCACGGATGTAAGATCTAATTATGGGTTTATAATCACTGTATGGGATAAGAAGTGGTGTCACAGATTTGTTGAGTGCTGTTTTTGCAGCAGCAGCAGCCATTGTGTTATCAATGATACCAACATGGCTGGGTAACCAACAAAAAACGATGTCATATTGTCTTTGAAGACATAGTTTTAATCGCCTGAAGGAACGAAAGTGAATCAGAACAAATAATGAATTGATTGTGTTTTGATTGATTACTGATATATTTAAGTGCTGTAAAAATGGCGTTTGCTTCTGCTGTGAATATGGAACTGTTATCAGGTAATCGTGAAGACACTGTCCTGGATCCAATGACAGTGGCACTAGCAACTGCGCCACCATCATTGGATCCATCTGTAAAGATAGATTAATAAGTGTCGTAAGTGTTTCTTAATTGATTGTATTCTTGTTGGTAAATTAATTGGTTAGTATCTGATTTCTTTAGTTTTGTTAATGTAAGGTCTACCTCTGGCTTTACCATTTGCTAAGGAGATAAAAAAAAAAGTTGAGTAGGAGCTATATCTTGGAGTTTAATATTAGAAGCTGATATAGCAGATTTTATTCTGATTCCGAATGGTGGAGTGAATGTTGATTATTTATTGTAAAGATCTTCGTAGAGAGGACTGAATATGCATTCAAAAGCTGGATTTGACTGATTAGAATATAATTTAGTGATGTACTGTAAAGATAATTTTAGAAGGCATTGTTTAAGAGAAGGGTCATCCGCCTCCACATACAGACTGTGAATGGGAGACGTTCTAAAGGCTCCAGGGCAAAGCCTCATGCCCTGATGACGTATAGTATCTAGTTTTTGTAAATTACTTTTGCAGGCTCCACCATATACGATGGAGCCGTAATCAAGTTTTGAACGGATCAGTGACCTGTATAAGTGTAGGAGGGTTGTCTGATCCCCTCCCCACTTTGAATTAGACACAACTTTTAACAAATCGAGTGCCTTCAGACATTTAGCTTTAAGTGATTTAATGTGTGGTAAGAAAGTTAAATGGCTATCAAAGATGAGTCCTTAGCATTTGGCCTCCCTTACAACTTTGATAGGGTCGCCATTCAAAAATATTTAAACCCGTTTTCGAGAGACCACTTATGAATTTTATTGAGACAGATTTGTAACTGCCTCTCTATGGTATGCATATTTTTTACCACGACAAGATATATTAAAATCATCCACGAACAGTGATCCATCTACTGAATCACTTAAAACCTTGGACAGACTATTTATTTTAATACCAGTTAAAGTGACAGACAAAATACTGCCTTGTGGGACACCCTGATCCTGATTATAATGGTCAGACAGGATTGTACCCACTCGGAGTTGAAATTGCCTATCTGTTAAGAACTGAGATATAAAATGAGGTAAACGACCTCTCAAGCCAAAAACATGTAAATCCGTTAAAAAGCCATGCTTCTAGGTGGTATCATCTGCTTTCTCAAGATCCAAGAAAATTGATACTACAGGTACGTGTTGTTTATTAACAATAGCATTTTTAACAAAGGATTCTAATCGTACTAAATAGAATCAATAGCTTTGCGGAAGCCACACTGAATATTAATAATTTTGGTATGGGGATTTCAATGGCATTATGCCATGAAGGAGGAACATTCCCTGAAGTCCATATTTGGTCAAAAATATTTTAAGGTGTCTCAAGACATGATTCAGGCAAATGCTTCAGTATTTATAATGGATATTTTCATCACCCGTAGCAGTATCATGGGCCTGCTCAAGAGCGGTATGTAGCTCATGTAATGAAAATACTTCGTTGTAATCTTCACCATTATTAGAATCAAAATTAACTTCTTTTTTTCCTGTTGTTTCTGATATTTCTGAATCTCAGGTATATAATTTGTCGATGGAAATTTTTGCAAGAGTTTCGCCAAGAGAGAACCAGACCGGAGACGAGTGACGTTTTTAACGGCAGACCATCAATGCCTTCTACGACTAGAAATCTTGGCCATGAGTCTCTGTTGGTTGGTGAAGATTCATCATCAGAAGATGAAATATTATCTACTTCAACATGTCTTCTCTTGTGTTTGCTACGAGAACCAGTGTGTTGTGGGCTATCCATAATGAGAGAAAGAAGTTTCAACAACCCTGCTCCCCACCCACCATGGAGTGTCAACAGGGACGGTTGCCACAGTGGAAGCCAAACTGCAACACCAGGGCTACAGGGATGTTATACTTCAGAAATAAAGACATGAATAGCTGTCGTTAATAAAAGGAAGAATGTCAGGTTGATTCGGCCCGTGGCATTTTTCTATAAAAAACAGAATTCAGCGGTCCGTATCACTAGTTTGGCCCATGAGCCGACGCCTTCTGGCATAGGACTCTAGGCAATATTTTATTTTACACAATCAAGGTAATCATATATATTGATCAAAACCTGTGTGATAAGATACGTCTAAATTATCAAGTGTTCCATGCACAGGGCATGGCGTGACCAGCCGGTTGATAGAATCGGGCCAATTCTATCACCCGTCTAGGTGAAGTTAGGGTCAAAGTGGTGTGTTGGGCAAAAGGAACACTTTTCCTGGCTCCAGTGCCCTCAACCACCAGAATCCCGTCCTCCACCGACACAGGGGCGCAACCCACGGCAAACGGGTTGCCCAAGTGTCGATTCGTACGACAAGCAACGGAGTGCTGTGGACACATTCTACACCGGGTCCACACTGGGGAAGAGCTATTAGCACGGGGAGGTTGCTCTTCACGAGTGCCGTTTGTCGCCTGACGTGGTGCTTGTTATTGCAATTATACGACCAAGCAATGCACACACATATACATGAAACGGCATTTAGAGGCCATTCATTCAAGGAAACCAAAGAAAGTATGTTTTTTTACATGCCGCTGTGTCATGTCACGAATTGTGTGAATGGTAGGTGTAATGACATCCCTCACTGACTCACGTTGAAAATAATGCGTTTATCACAGGTGGACTACACTATTGAAACGTACGACTAAACACATGTCATGTGAGGTGCATAAACAAGACACGTACCACTAACAATCAACGTAGCGAGAAACACCATGTGAGTCCCAATCCTCTTCTCCATGATGGTCGCACGTAGTAGATATGGAGTTTATTATCCTGACCTGTCCCTTCTAGTATATTCGAACCTCAGTTCGCCAACCAGGGACGCTTTATCTCTACTGGAGTATTTAACTTCCGGGTCGACGCATGCAGCTTACATAACAGGGTGGCCAGTGATTCATGTAGAAGACGTTTCAACCAGGAGTTTTATGTCACTAATTCGTCTTTCGTTAAACTCTATATATGCGTGCACAGGACACTTGAAAATATAAGATCTGTCTCATGAGGCGATTTGTTTTCACAAACGCGTTTGGTTTTGGACATTAATAACTTTGTGGATTCATGACATAAGGATCTCTGAGACGCCAAGATGAAAACATGTAACTCTGAGTTGTTGTATATGAATTCATTTTTTTTTTCGCATTTTTCACACAACTTTTTTTTTTAAATGAGACAAGACCAGTTAATGTCAGCTTTACGTGGGAGGAAAGCCTGAAGTGATTCAGGTCTCAGACGTGTACCACTTTGGTGAAACCCACGAGCACGGGTTTGGTGCTGACAAACCTAGAAACATAACCGGCGTGCCAAAGGAGCACAACTCTACACAGCGAATAGCGGGGGCTTAGACAACAGTGCCCAATTAGGAATATGTGATCACCTAAATACCTGCATGACGTACATTCTCATCTACTTTTCTGTTCCATTAAATCTCCGAAATGTATGTACAGAGACAACGTGAGAGAGATCGTTTAACCAACTACTACAACCAACAACTACACATTTACGTCTGAATTTACTCAGCGGTAAAAACCTTCTCCCCCGAAATCCACCGGGAAACAACTAAACAAGAACCCGTCAGTCCGGTTTTGAAAGAAGATTTATTGCAAATGTAAAATCGATCCTTGTGCAGGCAACGTGTCACTATAACTGAAGTTCACTGCATTTAATCTTGGGATAAGCCAGGCTGCAGATTGCACGCCTGTAGTCCGTGTGTCATTCTTATCAGCCTGTGTCAACTTGCTCTCAGTGCATACATATCAGTTACATATTGATTTATTAGTTGTATTTAACATTTATCTTTACCCGAACCGAGCTGGGGACTAATAACGAACGTAGCTTATTGTTTGGCGTAACAGTTTCAACATGTGTAACAAAAGGGTTCAGACAAACCTTAGTATTGTGATGATTGGTTTAGGTGTGTAGGCTGTAAGACGATATCGTATTGCATGGTTGAGACCTAGATAAAACACACCAAGTGTGCATTCCGTTTCAGATTTAAACACATCTTAGATCTAAACACATATTGCATGTGTTTACCTTCTAAAAACAATGTTTACTTTGCGGCTACCTCCCGTAGCCGTGTCAGGATCCGCATTGATTGGAATCTAACCAACGGATTCCTGGGCTGTACTTGTGTCACTTTCCGATTTAATCTGACAAACACTGATATAACTTTAATCATGTTTAGCTAATTTATACCCCAGCTCTCCAATTACAGTTTGGCGAACCCTAACGGTTCAACATGACACTTCCAGTCGTCCAACATTATATTCTTAAAAAAGATAATGTTTATTTCCTTCCTGATTGGCCTCAATATTACATTTGCGAATGAATAAGTAAATGATACTTCATGCCGCAATTACTTATATTCCAGACGTATCGAACGACCTTACCCAGGATCAATGATAAGATCAAATAAGAATTTCAGCAGCGAAATAAACAAAAACATTATTAATACACTATATACTAGATATATATCACAGAGTATTTGATCAGTTGTTGTGCAAGCCATGTCGTCATCGCGGTTTTTCCGCTCCTTTTGCGCCCGGTAGTTTGTTTCGACGGATGGTCAGCCAGGGTTGGTTGCTCTCTGGTGTTGAGGTACGCACGCACGCACGCACGCACGCACAAACACAGACACACTCACGCACGCACAAACACAGACACATTCACGCACGCACGCACAAACACAGACACACGCACGCACAAACACAGAAACACTCACGCACGCACGCACAAACACAGACACATGCATACGCACACACTCACGCGACACACACACACATATACACAATATGTAATAGACGAGTATGAAACTTTTAAGCTGTTGACACACATACACAGACACAAATACATACACTCACACACAAACTCACGCGACACACACAATATGTGATAGGCAAAGACGAACCTTTTAAGCTGTTGACGTTTACACAAACACAAACACGTACACACACAGACACACGCACACACACGCACACACACACATACACACACAATAGGTAATAGGCAAGTGTGAAACCTTCAAGCTGTTGACGTTTACACGCACAAACACAGACACACGCACACACACACAGACACACGCACAAGCACACGCACACACAATAGGTAATAGGCAAGTATGAAACTTTTAAGCTGTTGACATACGCACACACACACACACACACACACACACACAGACAGAGGCACACGCACATTCACACACACACACACAAACACACACACGTACGCACGCACACATACACACACAATAGGTAATAGGCAAGTGTGAAACCTTCAAGCCTGTGACGTTTACACACACAAACACAGACACACACACACACACGCTCTCACGCACGCACGCACATACACACAAACACACACAATAGGTAATAGGCAAGTATGAAACCTTTAAGCTGTTGACGTTTACACACACAAACACAGACACACGCACACACACGCACTGATGCACGCAAACACACACAAACACACACAATAGGTAATAGGCAAGTATGAAATCTTTAAGCTGTTGACGTTTACACACAAACACAGACACGCAGACACACGCACTCACGCACGCACACACACACACATACACACAATAGGTAATAGGCAAGTATGAAACCTTTAAGCTGTTGACATTTACACACACAAACACAGACACGCACACACACGCACTCACGCACGCACACACACACACACACAAACGCACACAATAGGTAATAAGCAAGTATGAAACCCTCGTATGTGTAATGCTGATTGACGAGATTAACGGTAGTCGGAATCACGGTCCTGCTCGTTCTCGTTTTAGGCCCACGCAACCATGTGCTGCATAAAGGTAAGAATTCAGATTAAGAGATTGGCTAGTGTCATTTATTACATTCATCAGTGTAAGACTGGGTTTCTGAGGTTACGAAAAGGGATATTTTCATTGCAGGGAACATAACACTTTGATGAAACTATTGTAATACAAGAATTACCTCCCCGCAAATTGTCTTCCTTTATCGTAAGTGTCTGGTCCCTACACAAACTGATGACTAGCTTTTCGCGTCAGTCCCACATTGACAAGCCAATTATGGAGTTCATATCGTTTCTTGGCGTTTGTTTTTCTCTTTTAAATGTTCAGTTATCAATTGTAAATTTCTCATTTAACTCCTAAATGTTCGTTTTTGAAAGCGCCATTTTTGTTACTTGACCAACATGTATGGTCTTGTTGCTTTCAATACTATTGATTGTTGAAGCTGCTTTCGTATGTAAATATATCCAAATGTATGAAAAAGAAATTAAGGTACTTCAAATTTATTTTGAAACTTTTGTTAATATTTTGTTAAGTGAGTGAGTGAGTTGGGTTTAACGCCGCTTTTAACAGTATTCAATTTATATCGCGGCGTGTCAGCTCAGTGTGGGAGGAAAGCCAGAAGTGATGCAGGTCTCATAGGTTTACCACTTCGGTGAAACCCACCAGCACGGGTATGGTGCCGACAAACCTAGAAACATAATCGGGGCGAATCGGGATTCGAACCCACAATCATAGGTTTCTGGCGTGCCTAAGGGACGTAACTCTGCATAGCGAATCGCGGCGCCTTAGACGACTGGGCCACCCGTGTCCCCCATTTTGTTAAGATTTGGCAAACACGGAACTACTCTTTAAGTAGCCACTGCAAGGGGTGGTGAAACGTCCAGCGTGGTAGGCAGGGAGACTTTACGTTTCATGGTTCAACTTTCCCTTCATGTCGAGCAATATTCATGCAGCTCAAGCCTTTGGTGTTGAAATTTCGCAACTTTTGAGATACAATCGAGCATGCGCTTTCTACCAAGATTTCAAAGAGCGTCATACGACTCTTGCTCAGAAGCTGTTTGATCAATGTTACACCATTCAAGGCCTCAGTAAAGCTTTCAAAACGTTTTATAGTACACATGTGTACGACATTTCCAGATTTGACGCATCAATGACAAAAAATGATGTCCGATGCAATTACCTATTTGACTTGTACCATATGTTCCCATATCTTTTCGGGTGAACAATTGACTGGCCTTTGCATGTGTTTATGACGGGTGGCGCCGGCGGGGCAGGATACGCTCACCTTTTCGCGAACACCTTACTATCATAACTATTTGATAGTGATTCATGAACACATGCTCACGATATAGTCGGTATTGTATATCGACTCTGCTTTATGCAAAGATATTTCTATTGGATAGGGAAAGGGTTTTGTCGGTTTATTTACATTTGTATTGAAACAATTTATATTTACGTTAGACAGCTACACAAAAAGAATGTAATAAATAGGATATTTACTGTGCCTCGTGAAATGTTTCTCTCATCTCTTGACGTGGGAAATTAGATACTTTAGCTCGTAGCTATAACCGCCTCCGTGGTCTAGTGGTAGAACGTCCGCCCGGAGAGAGGAAGGTCCGGGTTTCGATCCCCGGCCGCGTCGTACCACAAGACGTTAAAAGATTGTACTTGTTGTTACCCTAACTGGCGCTCGGCATTAAGGGGCTAAAACAAGGACTGGTCGGCTCGGAGTCAGTATACTGTGTCTGAGTGGGGTATTCATGTTCAACTGCGGCATGGTATCTCAGTGGGCTAATACTATAAATCGGCATCAGTCCTGACTAGTACAAGCAGACAGTGAGTGAGTGAGTTATGGTTTAAAGTCACATCGGCAATATTTCAGCCATATCGTGACACAAGCAGACAGACTCTCTCACACACACACACACACACACACACACACACACACACACACACACACACACACACGTGCATGCACGTCGCTATATAAGTGCAATAATCTTGGACGCGACGTTAAACCCCATTTCACCACATCTCGTGGCTGTAATCGTTTGTTCGAATCCCGATTTGACCCGATATGCTTGCAGGTTTGGGAACACAAAAGCCGTGATCGTGGGTTTCACTAAAAAAGGTAACCGTTTAAGACCAGATGACACACCGTGACTAAACTTAAATACTGTTCAAAGCGGCGTTAAATCGAACACACTCACCCCCTTAACATACAGTCACGCAAGTCGAAAGGTTTTAACACTTTGGTGAATTTCCCGAGCACGAGTATGTTGCTACCAATTTTGACCAATAAACATTGTGAAATTCAATATCGGTATCCTAGGCGGGTTGAGTAATAATTATTAGACAAACCCCGACACAAATGACTTAAAGGGTTTATTATACAACAAAGCAACATTGGAAAGTACATTTTGTGCTGCTTTATCAATTACCG